CCCTTTTTAAAGATTGGCATAAGGTGTGCTGTCCTCCAGTCCTCTGGCACTGTGGCCATTTAAGGGACATGTTGTCTATTTTAGTTAAAAGATCAGCAACTTCATTCCTCAGTTCCTTGATAATCCTTGGGTGGATACCATCTGGGCCTAGTGACTAATTGATCTTCAATTTATCATTTAGGTTCAATCAAGTGCTCTAGCACACCTGTTTCTTTCTGAACAACCCATCGTTTCTATGATCCACATGGTCTAGGGCTTTGACAAAGTTTATAAAGCATAGACAGGTCTTCTTCTGAAATTCTTTAGTGCGCTCCAGTAGCCAGTGGGTGTTTGCAATATGATCTCAAGTGCCTCTTCCTTTTCAGAATCCATCGTAAATATCAGACATTTCTCACTCCATATTAAGTAAAAGTGTGGCAACATTTCAATCATCACTTTTGTTTGCATTGAAAATTAGAGCAATGGTCCTATAACTGTATTCCTTCGCATTTCCTTTCTTGAAGATTGGAATTATGTTGAACTTTTCCAATCTGTGGCTCACTGTTTTGTTTCCCATATTTGGCATACTCTTGTTAGTGTTGTGACAGGTTCAGTCTCTGTGACTTGAAATAGTTCTATTGTTATTCTATCTTCCCCCAGTGTTTTATTTCTTCCCAGTGTTTTTAAAGCAGCTTTCACTTCATTTTTTTAGAATTGCAGGTTCTTCATGATAGAACTCTTCCTCAAAGGATTCATTCATCTATTTCTGTATATGTCTTCAGTAGTGATGCCCCGCTAGACGATTACCTCGCAAAATGGTTAATTCGCTAGACAATGAGTTTTTGTGATCGCTATAGCGTGTCGCAAAAATTGTGTTTCCTATGGGCGATTTTCGGTCGCAAAAATTGTGTTTCCTTGTTTCCTATGGGCGATTTTCGCTGGACAATGTTTCGGACCGTGCTTCGCAAGGGGTTTTTTTTCCCCCTGGAACCGATTTTCGCAAGATGACAATTTTGACACGGTTTTGTTTTTTTTCCTGGAACTGATTTTCGCAAGATGACAATTTTGACAGCTGAGTCCATGACTCGCAAAACAAGTGTTTTCGGGACCGTTTTTCGCAAGACAGTGATTTTTACAGCTGATCCGCACTTCGCAAAACAGTTTCTCTATGGGCAATTTTCGCAAAACGATGACAATTTTTCCCTATTGGAACGCATTAAATGGATTTCAGTACATTCCAATGGGGAACTGCATTTCACAAGATGTTTTCACAAGACAGCGATTTTCGCTGAACAAATTAACATTGTTTTGCGGGGCACCACTGTATACTGTTTCCATCTTCTCTTTATTTGATGTTGGTCAGATAGTGTGCTTCCCAGTTGGTCTTCCAACATTCCTAACCTAAGCTTATATTTCCCTTTGATTTCTTGGATCTTCTGAAAGAGATTTCTTGTTTTTCCCCTTTTGGTATTCTCCTCTGTTTCTTTGCACTATAACTGTTGTAATAATTCTGTTTGTCACTACATGTCAGTTGCTAAAAAGCTGCATTCAGGGTTCTGGCCTTTTACTTTTGCTTATCACCTATTATTGATAGTTGTGGTGTTTCTTCCATCTAGGTTTTCATTTTCTTTTTATTATAGGAATTGCCTTTTTGCATTCTTCCTAATGATATATCTTGTTTCAATCCACAGTTCTTCTGGTTCACAGTCAATTGAGCTTAGTAATGTGGACTTGTTCTTTATGTGAACTTTAAATTTATCAGGAATGTTAAATTATATTTTGGCACTGCAATTATTTTCTTGTTCTTTTTCAGCTTTACTCTAATTTTGAATAGTAGCAGTTCATGATAAGTACCACAATCTGCTCCTAGTCTTGTTTTAGCATAGAGAATACAGCCTCTCCATCTCCTGCTTCCAATTACATAGTCTATTTGGTTTGGTTTTAGCATATTGACCATCTTGTCTGTACAGCTGTCTGTTCTGTTCCTTTAAGTACATATTTGTAATAAACAGAAAGATGGCTTCATAGAACTCTATGAGTTGTTCTCGTGCTTAGCTTGTCTCCTAGACAAAATTTTCCAACATTTGAGTCCGCTTTGTTTCTTACTTTTTGGTTCCACTCATCTATGATTATAAGCATGTCTTGTTTTAGTGTGTTACCTCTGAGATGCTTACATAAACACTTTCACTTTCACCTTCTCCAGCATTTCTAACTGCAGCATAGACTTGAACAATAATTATGTTGATAGGTTTTCTATGGAATCTGATTGATATTACTTGGTCAAACCTTGCATTATAGCCCCTCACTGCATATGCCACATCTTGCCTCAGTATTAGAACCACTCAATTTCTTCTGTTTGTCATTTCCCGAGCAGAACATGTTGTAGTTGTCTGACTGAAAATATTCTACTCCAGTCCACGTTAGTCCACTGACAACAAGCACTGCAATGTTTATATGTCCCATTTCTTGCTTTACGGTTTCCAACTCACCTTGACTTATACTTTTCATGTTCCATGTTCCAATTGTTCAGTATTAGAACCACTCAATTTCTTCTGTTTGTCATTTCCCGAGCAGAACATGTTGTAGTTGTCTGACTGAAAATATTCTACTCCAGTCCACGTTAGTCCACTGACAACAAGCACTGCAATGTTTATATGTCCCATTTCTTGCTTTACGGTTTCCAACTCACCTTGACTTATACTTTTCATGTTCCATGTTCCAATTGTATGTGTTGTGTTGTATTGGACTTTCCTGTGCACATCAACCAGTAGGCATCCTTTTGGCTTTAATCTAGTTGCATCATTAGGGATATTGTTTGTACTTGTCCTTTGCTCTTCCCCAGTAGTTGGCTGAGTAATTTCCAACTTGGGAGTCTCATCTTCTAGCATTACCATATTTTTCGCTCCATAAGACGCACCTGGTCTTAAGATGCACCTAATTTTTAGAAGAGGAAAACAGGAAAAAAATATTCTGAACCAAATAGTGTAATAAAATTTTTAACAAACTATAACAAATGGAGCACCTTTTCACCCAAGCATGGTTTAACCCCAAACAAGCGGCTTTTAAACCAAAACTAGCACCTTTTAAAGCAAGCATGCACGTTTCTACACAAGCAGGTTTCAACGCAAATGGAGCACCTTTTCACCCAAGCATGGTTTAACCCCAAACAAGCGGCTTTTAAACCAAAACTAGCACCTTTTAAAGCAAGCATGCACGTTTCTACACAAGCAGGTTTCAACGCAAATGGAGCACCTTTTCACCCAAGCATGGTTTAACCCCAAACAAGCGGCTTTTAAACCAAAACTAGCACCTTTTAAAGCAAGCATGCACGTTTCTACACAAGCAGGTTTCAACTCAAATGGAGCACCTTTTCACCCAAGCACGGTTTAACCCAAAACAAGCAGCTTTTAAACTAAATTTTACATTTTAAAATGACAATACCAGGCAGTCCCAGGTCTCTCTCCCAGCTCTCCATCCGCTTGGATGAGCGAGGAAGCAGACAAGCAGTCTCTTCGCTAACTGAAAGTTTGAATTTCCTGCTTTCCCTATCTTTCCCGCACATTAGGTATGCTAATATCTGTGCACTGGAGGATTGTGGGAGGAACACCTGGCCCCTGATGGGGGTCCCATGGGACACCCCAAAACACTGAGGAGCTCTCTTGGTCTCTGGCGGGGCTGCAGCTGTGCAGCCCTGTTCTGAGCAGGTGCAGCCAGGGGGTCACCATGCCTTGGGGGGGCAGGGCCCAGAAGTGGGCAGGAGGTGCAGGGGCCACTCCAACTCATACTTACCTGGCAGGGGAGATACCATGATCATGAAAGTGGTTTTCCCAGGGTGAGGCTCATCCATTGCACTTCAGGTGTGCTGATCTCTGTGATTTCCCCAAATGTGGGAAAATCAACTGCATAATTTGTGGTAGTGGGGGACTGCGTTTGTACTTTACCCTGGTCTTTCTAGAATCATTCATTCCCCTTCAATCCTTGGCTGTTTTCACTGCCCTCTGCTATTTAAATTTGCTGCCATAGGCCTGTTGGCCCTGCTGGTTTTCCAGGTGGGCTCCAGGAGGCAGATCCTGGAAAGCCAGCAGCGCAGATAGCAGAGTGGCAAAGTCCAATATGGCTACTATGGCGAGCAGCCTCTGGTGCCGGTTCAGAGGCCTCCTGCACGGTGGTGGGAAGCTTCTGGGTGGCGGTGGCTGAACCCTTTTTTACAGTATTCGCTCCATAAGACGCACATACTCCCCCCCCCCCCTTTTTTGGGGGGGGAACTGTGTTATGGAGCAAAAAATACGGTATCTCCTTTTTCATTTCGACTCGCTCATCACAGGATTCTCAGGATATAAAAGTTCAGCAGTGGTTTACTATTGCCATCTTCTGTACAATACCAACAAAAGTTAGCTTGAACGTCACCGCTGTTGCCTCCTCTTCCAGTGTCACCTTTAGCTACCACTACTACCCAGTAGCTGCTGCCCCATCACTATTGGAACTATCAATTCTCTTCTGCTGATGCCGCAGTTACCCTTGAAAGGGGGGTGCATCTTAGTCAGTTGTGACCATTCCGTTTTGGGTGACCCTGCTAGGAGTCTAGGCCCATAATGGAATTTGGCCTCCTCACAGCATTGCTCTTGGCTTCACTGACACACTCAAACCTGTTCACCACATTCATTTGTGCATCCAGAGAGAGCCCTTATCTCCTATAGATGTGTAAATATCTGTTTTTAAAATGTTTTTTTAATGTTTCATCATTGGTTTTAATATTGATGAATGTTTAATTGTTTTTAAAATATTGTTTCTTTGGTATTTTTAAACTGTTGATTATTGTATAGTTTTAATTGCTTTGGACCACCTTCGGTCTCCTATGAGGAGAAAGGCTGTATATAAATAATATAAATAAATGTAGTTGCACATCTAAATGTCCATTTATAGAAACCCCAACTGAATAGGACCAGGAATAGTTGAGGGAGCACAAAGATAGCCTGCAGGTAGAAATTGCTTGACATGTTTTTCTTTTCGTTCTCTCCTAGGAGAATTCGCAAGTTCCTTTCCTCTGCCGAAGCCAAGCGAGCTGCAAGACGCCCTTACAAACCTATTGTCCTGCATCCTCTACCAGACATGCATCTACAGCAGCCTGTGAATGATGAACCCATAATTATTGAGGACTAAAACAGACTTGACTTGTTTTTGAAATACCAGTGGAGTTGCCGGAGAACTTTTCTCAACCTCCGTATACTGTTCTTTAAGTTCTGTGGCTACAGTGTTGAATTCACTGCTGAAGAAAAAAGCAGAACTACGTTGCTTTGAATCCTGGAAGGAGTTCAGCCCTGTTCTGCATCTTGATGGCCAGCATTGCACATGAGTGTGCTTTCTCTTTTACAATAGTTTTGGTAGCAGATTTTTTCTTTGCTTATAGTTTATTCCGCTCCTTTTGTAAGCAAGTGAAAAGCAAAGTACGTTTAACTTATTGAAAAATGGAGGATAGTGATCTTAGCATCTTCTTTTTTCATAAAGGGAAACCTAGGATCGCTTCCTTTTTTGACTGAGCTTTTATTGTCAAGCTGTTTTACAACATGGTTGTAAGTTGTATGTGTGTGTGTGTGTGTTTGTCAGTACCATTTTAAAATTCCATTTATATTATTTCTTTGTAGTTAAAGTGCCAATGTGTATCTGTAGTATCTGGAAATAGAGAATCCGGAAACATGCCACAAGTTTAGTGAACTTCTTACTTTTAGTTCTTTTTTACTTTGAGATAACTTAGCTCATTTTTTGTGTTCAAAATGCAACCATGACAGAAAGCATGTGGACTATCAACGGTTACCTGCAGTTGGATTGCTGTGCCTTTGTTTTTGGAGTTACCGATTTGGCCAGATGACTTAGGAAACAGAATTCCTGCATTGCATTGGCAGCTACAGTTGTTTGTTATCATCTCTGGGCAGTCCCATATATAGGATGGGTTGCTTCCTACTCACTTTTGCCATGACATGATAACAGGAAACTACTTGGAAACTACTTCTAATGACAACTCTCATTAATTTTTAATTTTTAACTCTTTTTGGAAAGACCCAAATAAAAAAGTAGTTGAGGGTGGCAAGATTTCCACCTTCGGTAAGCACAGCCACTGAAACCGTCTTGTTCTTACTGTTGAAAGTTCATTAAATAGGCAAGATACAGTCATTTCTCTCAATGTAGAGTCCCCTTCTGGGAAATTGCAGCTGGTCTTTTGCTTCATCTGCAGTCCATGAAGTCCAAGATTGTAAATACTGAAAACTTATCTGATTGCAGAACCTTCCTTAGGTTCCTTTCCTAAAAGAAGCCTCAGAGACTTGGTCTAAGTGCTCCAAGGACTGGAACAGGTGTTATCCTGCATGGTGGTTCCTAGTAAGAGTCAGGAAAGGAAAGGAAAGGAAAGGAATTCTTGATAGCAGCTTCTGCTCTCCCAATAGCAATTCCTTGAAATATTGCATTCCTACAGATGTACGAATAGCTGCATCCTTCTTCAAGTGATGAATGGAGCTACTCCACTCTCAGTCTTTCAAGGGCCCACATCTTCTCCTTCCTGGAAACCATTCCTTAAAACAAGCCTTAGAGTACAGTTATGGAGCCTTGGGTCCTCCAAATGCAATTTAGACTACAGCTGACATTGTATGTCAACATTGGCTGTACCAGATGGAACTTGTGGGAATTTAATTCCGAAACATCTAGAGGGCTAGAGGTTTCCCAACTCTTTCTGGTGGCATTTCTAAGACTGCCTTTGCTCTGAAGGTCCATTCCACTTGCCTACCTGAAACTGTGAATGACAAGACCCCTGGGAAATTTGGAGCCAAAGAGAGATGACGAGATGACAGACATAGACCTGTCCGTCCCCCCCCCCCGGGGGAAACCAAGAGCCAAGTGATCCTGATTGGAATGGTCATTAATTTATAGCTCTGGTTACAGAATCTGCATGTTAAAAGTGTGAATAGCATTGTTTTAATTATTTTTCTAGTTCGGTTTATTATGAATTATATATTGCTCTGTGGTTCAGGGCTAATCATATCTGAATTTATGTTGTTTCAACGTGTTATTCCTTTCTGATTCAGTGGTTTTGCACCAACTGGTGAAACAGTTTTTACAGCCTTTGCAATTAGCATTCTTCCATCACAGTTGTACCTAGTATAAATCTAATATTTTCCAGGTGGGGGGAGCAGTATACCTTCTGTAGAGCTCATGTCAAAACTGGCATTTTTAATAAGTAGAATTCATGTTCTATTTCCTTTTCAAATGTTATTATTACAAGATTAGATTTTAACAGCCTTTGTCCACTGTTGGTCAAAAAAGGAACAGATTTAATAACCTCTGTGCCCTATGTACTGACACATAAACACCTTCTCCAGTGATTCTAGTGTGGGGCAATCTTTTGTTCTGGGAATTATCTTTTTTTAATTGCTCCAGCAAGAAAGGCACTAAAGAGAGAAGATTTCCCCTCAGCTTCCAGACCAGTCCTGACTGGTAAGCAGACAGAAGGGTTTCACCACCATACACACCTGAGGCATTGCAGTGCTATTTAAAATCAAAATTTAAAAGGAAAAGTGGTTTGTTTTGTTTTTGCAGAAGTTGTTAACCATTTTAGGCAGACACTCGAGCCAGGCTTGGGCATGAAGGCACAGGTGTTCTTGAAGAGACAGCCTTTCCATCTCTAGAGCATTTTGCTTCTTCCCTTAATTAAGCCTGGGAAAGCAACCAATGGTCATCATCAATACCTCCATTGCCCCTGGCATCCATAGCACATGATAACCAGTGGACACCCTTTTTGTCTCAGGAGGAGACACAAAGTACTGCGCTCTCGCTCTCTTCAGTTCAGGTTTTTGAGAGGAGGGGTGGTTGATGAAGTGTCACATTAACAGCCACAAAATGACATCTAGCAGGAGTTTGTCTCAGGGGAAAAAACCAGACCAGCAAGGATATTTTGAATTATATATACTTCAGCAGTGCTCCATGAAACCAGTTCCTGTTTCCCCCATTTAAAATTTCTCTTATTTTGTCACAAGTATCATGAACCTAGGGAACTTTTCAACTTTGTACCAGATATATTCCTCATAAAAAAGGAAGTTTGCTCTGTAACATTTCTTGAGCTAGGCTGTTCCACCTCTGTTTACTTAGGTGGGCTTTTAGAAAATGACTGCTCCCAGACACAGAAGTTCCTGAAAAGAAAGAAAAAATGAAAGAATATGAATTGTGACAAAATTAGTAGCATTAAAGCAAGTTTCCTGTTTTGAAAAGCACCTTCTGGTACAGTACAGGCAGACAAAGGACAAAAACACTGTGGCACCTTAAAGACTAACTGCTGTTATCAGACTTGGTCCATGAAAGCTCACATTAAAATATAGTCGTCTTTAAGATGCCATAATATTTTTATCTCATTTTTTGTTTTTGTTTGTTGTCTCATAAGCTTGCACAAGTTACCATGGCTACTCCTTCAAAAACTACAACTATGATTTTCTTCTGAAACTCTTCTGGTTTTCTCCAGTAAACAGTAATTGCTATATAATATCTAGTGTTTCTTTCTTTCCTGAACCCAGAGAGAGCATTTAGCATTTGTTTCTCCATGTCTGATACAAGTCTTTGTTATAAATCCTTGAGCATCACTTTGCTTGCAGTTATAGATTATAGTTACTGTAACCCTCGCCATCTCCTTTCTTTGGTGATTTATTATTTCTACTTGAGAGCAACTTTTCCTTCATTTTTTAAAACTGCAGGTTCATCATCAAAAGATTCTTTTAAAAAATCTGCCATTGTTGAACCTAATCTATAGTTTTTCAGTATATTGTTTCCATCTTCTCTTCATTTTTTTTCTCACCAGATAATATAACCCTTTTTATCTGCTCTTTATCTAACCCTTTCCATCTTCTCTTGAATATAACCCTTTTTATCTGCTCTTTATCTGTAATCTAGGTTTATGTTAGGGAAGAGAGCTCTTTTTTCTTTTCTCATCTTTTTTTTCATTCAGTTTCTTTGTGATGCATTTAAAAATAGTCGTCCAAAGTTATATTTAGGATTCTGACAGTATTTTGTTCTACGTTTGCTTCATGTCTGTTAATAACCATTTTAAGTGTTTTATCTGTCAAGAATTTTCTTTTGGCTACAGAAAGTCTTTTTGTATTTTTCTCTGATTTCATGTTTGACTGCACATTTCTGCTTCAGAGTCAATTAAGTTTAGCCATGCAAATATGTTCCTTAAATTCTTCAGGAATGCTGTTTAAATTCTAATTTGGCACTATGATTGATTTGTACAGTGGACCCTTGACTTACAGACGGCTTGACTTACAGACTTTTTGAGTTACAGACTTCTCTAGCCGCAAAATTTAGGTTTGACTTGCAGCCTGAGAATTGACTTACAGCACAGAAAAAAACCAAAATGGAACAAAAACGGCCTGTTACGGGATTAATCGGTTTTCAATGCACTGTAGGTCAATGGAGACTTGACCTACAGACCTTTTGACTTGAGAACCGCCTTCCAATACGGATTAAGTTCTCAAGTGAAGACCCCACTGTATTTGTTAGCTTTTCTTTTCTTTTTTTCTATTAAGAGTTTGTGATCTGTGCCACAATCTGTTCCTGACCTTTTTTTGGCAGAAAAAATAGAACTTCTTCACCTTCTGCTTCCAAGATACAATTGATTTAGCCTTCTGGTGACATCCAAATGTACATCTGCCTGGTGAATTGCCTGAAGTGTGTTCTTACAACAAAGAAATTGTTGCCTTCATTGAATTATGTGAAACTGTCCTGCTACATTTCCAACTCCTTGGCCAAATTTTCCTACAGTGTCTCTCATTTTGCTTTCTTTCCTATTATCAGCCTATCCTATTTTGGTATATGATCAATTTCCTACTAGAGAATTGCATAAAAGCATTTTACTTCTTCTTCAGCACTTATAGTAGGAGCATAGACTTGAACAATTATTTTGATGATTATTATTATCTGAACAGGCTAACTTTACTGCTTGTGCTATATCTTGTCGCACTATTACGTACTTTTTTCCTAATTTTGTTGTTTCCAGAGTACAGCATTTTGTAATTATGTGGTTGAAAATGTCTTATTCTGATCCTTTACAATGTGTGAACATTTTGTACCTTGATTCCTGCTTCTCACATTCTGCGTATCAATTATGTCTCTTGTAATATCAGACTTTCTTTTTGCCTTAGTGCACATTAGCAATTAGCCATACTTTTGACTTTAATCAACATGCTTCATTAGTAGCAGTACAATTCTAACATCCTTTGCTCTTCTCTTATAGCTGATCAAATATCTTCAGACCTGGAAGTTTCATCTCTAGATTCATTTTGGATTTTATCATAATAGCAGTTTCACGGTATAAAGAAGTAGATTACCATTGCTTCTACATAGCACAAACAAGAGTTAGCCAATGTCGTTGTCTAAGAAAGATCCTCTGTTAGTGTCACCTTCCACTACTGTTGCCAACCAGCAGCTGCCCTCCAAAGGTTTCTCTGCCTGTATCACCTTTGAAACTACCAATTCTGTTCCACAGATGCAACTGCTAATTCCTGAAGAGGATGAATGAATCTCAGTTTGGTGTCTCAGCTTTCACCATTCCACCATAGATGACCTGAATCTAACCTCCTGGCAATCTTTCTTAGCTTTCCTGTCATA